TTTTAGTCAGGTGCGGCTAATGTATGTACAAAACAGGATTTTCCCCTAATTTTAGCTTGTGCGGCTAATATGCGCTTTTTAGTCTGGGAAATACGGTAATTTATTTTATTTAATCATCTTCTGGAAGAGAGAGACATGCACAGTCCAAAGCCAATTTGCAGATCTCTAGCATTAGAAGCCAAAAATGTGTATCATATAGGTGTTATTTTGGTCCTTTACACATCACACATAGTTTCGATAAAAACAACTCCTGTGCTGCACTAGTTTCACTTCCTGTTCTCTGCAGCTCTGCACAAACCGTCCTGTTTTAATTCTCCTCTAAATTAAGACTCCGTTGTTAAGGCAACCTGTCACCCTCTGACCTAGTTCTCTCTCACAGCTGGCCTTGCTTTATACAGGCCTTTAGTATTAAAATACATGAAACAATATGATCAGAAAATAAGCACTAAGAATATATATTTATTCTGTAACAGTAGTGAGGAGGCAAAGTTATTAACAAGATAATCGACCTCTGCTGGAGTAGCGTCAGGTAGCTGCTCTGCTCTGTGTTGTGTGGTGGAAATTTCTTTATTCTGTGTATTAATCACATATTTTAACATCACATCACTTTAGCAGTAGTATTATCACTTTCTCACTTAGTTGTATGCATGCGGAATGTTATCACAAGTGGGCCTCAGGTTTTATTGCATCTTCACAGAGGGCCTTTTGTAGAGTTGAAGACATCTAGGCAACCTGCTCAAGGGAGGTGACTGGTTGTAACTTTTCTTAGAGTGGGAAGGGGTCAAGGATGAGCTGGACTGAAGGTGTAGGGATATGTGATGTCCTATGGAATGTTCTTTGTTTGAGAGTGTCTGTGTGTGTATAAAAGAGTCCAAGGCAGTGGCCATCGTCAGAGATCATTCCTGGTGTTTGGCCTGGATGTTTCTCTCCCCGTTGCAATATGTTTATTAAACCCACTTCAAATAATGCTCACTGGGTGGTTTGCAGGTTATTTTTTAAACTTACATGACAATATGGCACTGCGAGCAGGGTCCCTCACGTGAAGCTTCACTCTGTGATGGGTCCGCGGGGACTGATCACACCGGCTAAACTAAGGCTGAGTGCTGTGTGTGAATGGACTTTAGAAGACTATTTGAGTTTGACATGTGCCACACTGGAGTTGAAATGGCAAAGGAAGAGACTGAAAAGAAGAAAAATAAGTCGAAGCAGAAGTAGAATGGCGAACTGGGCCTCTGATACGTCAACGACTGTGACCTGCTGCAGATGTGGGAGACAGACAGCAGCGGTGAGAAGGAGGGAGAAGAGAGCATGGAGGAAAAATGAAGTCTGTTGTTGTTAATGTGAGAGCACATGAAAATTGGGTTGAAAATTGAGGCCGACTGACTCGTGGAGGTTTAGGAAGTGTCCGGAGCATCGCAACAAATGGTAAAAGAATGCTAACACACGTACACAAGCAGAGAGTGTATTAACCCTCCTACTAACACACACATGCAATGAACATCACACTCATGACATGCCCATATTTCTCATCACTGTTAAAACAGGGAAAACTTAACATACACTTGTTATCAAATGCTGAGTTTATCCACTGCTGACAATTAACTGTCCAGGTTGCAGGTTAACCTTTGGAAAAGAGACTCTGGTGTGACCAACCAGTGATCAGACGATAAATTTAGTTGGTAATATAGTAAAATTATGAGATGCTTTTTGCTGATTGAGCAACACAAGTGATTTACTGTATGAGGGAAATTCTGTGAAGGACTGAAAGGCGACATCATTTAAAGACAATTCATTTATGATGAATAAATAAGGTTAAAGGTCTCCAAAAGTTGATTCTGTTCATCTGGATGTAGCGTTTTGTGGGAGAAACGTTTCGTCACTCATCCAAGTGACTTCTTCAGTCTCAGCTGACTGCAAGTTTCCCCAATCTTATAAACAGTACATTTGCATAATGACTGAAACCAGCCCACTGAAGGAGCAAGGAGCTGGGAAGTCAGTACAGACTCTAACAGACTGAGTTTCCTGTTTCTGATGTATGGGTGAAGCTTGCACCTAGAGACACACACCTGATTATATGGGAACAAACATGCTTTGTAAAATACATGATAGCATGTCACATGTTTCTTTTTTTGTGAAAAAAAAAATATTTTGTTGAGAGTGATCACAAGGTGAGTTCCTCCAGATTACAATGGGCTGTGGAGAAATTCCCTTATCTGGGTGGTAAGTCTTATCAGGTGGTAAGTCCTGTGTTTAAAAGGATTACGCAATTCAATCCATTTTATAATCATAAAGACTTGTTTTTTCAGTTGGTACAGGACATTGAAGATGATAACAGTGGGTGAATTATATTCTTAAACTTAGTTACAGGACATCTACTGTGATGAAGTCTACTCCCCACTGCTGTGTGATCAGTTATTGTAAATTTAAATGTTATTAGGAAATCAGACAAGAAAGGGCACCTCCATGAATTGCTACCTTATTGTGGTGGAGGAATTTGTATGTCCCAGGGATCCCAGGGTCTATGTTTTGTCCCCTGGTAGGGTCTCCCATGGTAAGTTATCTGGTCTCTCACCTAGAACCAAAGAGCGATTCAGAAGACCCCTATTTAAAAAAAATTGAGGGAACAGTTCACCCTGCCCGGGATAGGGTTACCAGGGCCCCGCCCTGGAGCCAAGCCCAGGGAAGGTGCCTGAGGGTGAGCGTCTAGCGGCCAGGCCCAAACAAGGGACATGGGCCCATCTTCCTAGAAGCCAACCACTCGCAGGAGGCGCAATAGGGGTCGGCTGGAATGTGTGCCGGGCGGCGGCCAGGAGCAAAAGCCCTGGCAGACTGATCTCCAGCTACCAAAACTAGCGATTGGGACATGGAACATCACCTCTTTCGTGGGGAAGGAGCCTGAGTTAGTGCGTGGGGCTGAGAGGTAATGACTAGATATAGTCGGATTCACCTCAAAGCATGACTTGCGACTCCCAACTCTGGATAGTAATGTTTTGGGGGATTTAATCATTTTGGCCAGATTTCTAGAAATGAGAGCTGCTCCATCCAAAGTGGGATGGATGCCGTCTCTCCTAACAAGCCCGGGTTTCCCCCAGAAAGTTTCTCAATTATCTCTAAAGCCCACATTGTTTTTGGATGTTGGCCTGTGTTTTGTATAATGTATGTATGTTTTGTGTTGGACTGCTGTCTCTAAAGCAAACTGCCACTTTGGTTTGGATTTCAGTGTCAGAATGTCTTTAAGGTGGAATGAAGAGGTTAAGAGTTTCATAGTGAATTATCCAGTGGAGGATTTTTCCTTCTTCTTTGAGTGTTTGAAATGTGAACATTGTTCTGCTACAGTCAATGGACCAAACCAGAGAAGAAGAAAACAGACTTTACCATGAAGATCTTCAGTGTGGATCAGTATAATAGCCGTTTATGTCTGCAGTTTAGTGTCAGCACAACTTTCACATTATTTTCATCTCAGCACAACTCAAACATGCTGACTGACCTCAGAGTTTCAAGTCCACATCCTGGAGTCTGCAGAAAACCACACAGCTGTTTCACTCCTGAATCATGTAGGTTGTTCAGGCTCAGGTCCAGCTCTCTCAGGTGGGAGGGGTTGGACTTCAGTGCTGCTGCCAGATAATCACAGCTGATCTCTGACAAACCACAGTCCCACAATCTGTAAAAAGAATGAAAGATGTACGTTTATTAGACAAAGTGTGTGTTTGAAATCATTCAGTGTTTCATCATCTGTTCAGAGCTGAAGAAGGTTCAGAATGTAGAAGTTTAGAAAATGGAAACTCCAAACAGCTGAAGCC